TGTAGAAAAAAAGGCTGTGATGTTTTTTTTTTTTTTGTACATTGTTTTAATTTTTTTTCCAATTTTTGATTGTTTGGTTTTTAATTATGTTTATTTATTTATTTGTGAGTTATTTTACTTTTTGCAGTGGAAGAATCACGTGACCTCGTATACCCTTGACTGTCTCGAACCGTAAGAAGAGGAAGTAACTATCTGATAAGAGCAAAACAACTATGGCCAAGACCAAAAAAAAGACCACGAACAAGACCAAGAGCAATCTTTCTGCACCGTTTAAGGCTCCGGAGCAATGTACACTTACACAGCCTGGAGAGGGTTCTTCCTCAACAAATCCGGTGCTGGCCTACCTGTCCCATCGACTGTTGAAGTCGGTGATTTGAGCAACCAACAAGTCTGAGGCCATGAGATATCGGAGTTGTACTTAAACTTTGATAAGCATATTGCTTATCATATTGTGAAAGGAGGTCCAGAGCGCTCGAGGCGCGGCGTCGAATTTCGATTACGGAATCACACGAAGACGTTGAATGGTTGGGCGCCGACGCCGTTTATTATGGAGACCGTACAAAGAGCTCAATTGATGTCAGTTGTATACGCCTCGTACAACACTGTGGACGACATCTACTTAGAGCCTTCATAGAGAGATGGCAGCCGGCTACCCACACATTCCATTTACCTTTTGGAGAGATGACCATCACACTTGAAGATGTGAGCACATTGGTCGGTTTGCCGGTGATTGGACGTATTGTATGTTGCGAACATTTGACACGTGATTCCAATATGCATGCCAATAATTTGATGCTCGAATTGCTAGGTGAGTACCCGGAAGATGTGGATAAGAGGAAAGCGGCGAAGTTGGAATGGTTCAAGGTCAAATTTAGTAAGGTGACCAGGAGAGACAGTGAGGAGAAGAGGACATACGCCATTCGGGCGTATTTGTTATTTTTGTTGGGGTCAACCATATTGTGCGACAAGACCGACAACATGGTAAACGTGGAGTATCTAAATCTTGTCGCGAATTTGAATCGAATCGGCGAGTACGCTTGGGGCACTGCATGTCTTTGCCGGTTGTACGATGAACTATCGACAAAATTCAACGAACTCGATGGCTGGCTTGCTGACACTCTTCCAATCATGGATTTACGAACATTTTCCGTATGCGCCGGAATATACGGGAAAGTGCTCGTAAATCCCTCATTTGGAAGAGCGTCAGTCAACCAGGCATCGAATTCGTTGAATTTTGTGAGGCTGACGATAGTTCATTGTACAAGCAATAAAGACATGCAGTGGCCTAAGCGTACTCGCGGATCCGATCCGAATCCGGTACGAGATTTAGATATTCCACGCTTACCATGTTGCCGGTTGTTGGGCTGCTAAATACCAACACGCAAGTGCACGTATCGCAAACAAGTAGTAAAGGTGGACTCGTGAGAGTCGG